CACATGAGGACAGCTTTCCCACACCCAGGGAACTACTGTAAGTCCTTAATGTTTCCACTAGGGTGGGGTGTGGTTTCCCCAGGAGGGATTGGGACTATGCACCAACACTCAGGCAGTCTGCTCTGTCTGTGGCTCTGATCTTGTACCACACCGCCAGCCCAACACCTGGGACAGTGGAGCTAAGGCAGAGATCTTGCCTGCCTGTTTCCCAGCGTGTAAAAGGGGAATATATACTCTTCCCAAGGTAGTTCTGAGCAACAACACCTGCGGGTGCTTGGTTCCCAGAGTAACAGAAAACTCAGTTCCGCGTGGGGGCAACGGGTGTGATACCTGTAGGGTTTCTGCAGAAGCATCGGATGGAGGGCTGGATCAGGGAGGTAAAAACTTCAGCTGCGGGCCTTGAAGTGTTGCAAAAAGGTACAGAGGCAAGTCTGCCGCCTCCTTCGCTGTGCCCCAGAGGTAAAGCTTTTTCTCTTCACCTCCGCTTCTCCCCTCCCCTGTGCAGATCCCTGCCTTCTCTCTGCTCTCCCTGTCCATCTGTCTCCCTCAGCTTTTACCCTCCTCTCAACCTGCTCCCATCTTCTTCCTCCCTCGCTGCCCCACCTTCTCTCTCAGAACAGAGGATCGCTGGCCCTCCTGCGCAAGCGCAGTCGGTGACAGCTGGACCGCTGGTTGGAAGCTCCGTTTCCGAGCCTGGGATCGGCCCCAAAGGCTTCTCAGCTCTGTCGCCCGTTAGGCCTCTGGCTCCTGCCTGGGGCCTGGGCCTCTGGCTGTGGAAGTGCAAGGTGGGGGGCTCCCGGGAAAGGGGTCAGGCGGCTGTGGGAGGGCGGTCGGCCTGTCACAGCCCCCCAGGGCGCCATTCAGCCTGTTTTCAGCTGCATTGCTCTGGCCAGACACCTCTGTCCGCGCCACCTGCCCCGGAGCCCCATCCACACCTGTCCAGGGCCAGGCTTGCACCTGCCGCCTCTCACCCAGCCGGTCTCCCCTCAGTCCGCGGCTGGCGTCCCCTTACCCTCTCCCGCCCCCATGTCCTCTCCTCCTGGGCTTCCTCTCCTAGGCTGCCAGCATGTCCCCACCAATGGGCGGGCTGTGTACAGGGCGGGCCGGGTCTGCGGACCTGCAAGAGGAAGCTGGGGCTGGGGATGGCCTCCGAGCAGGGCTGCAGCCCGCATTTCCAGTCCCCCAGCTTTCCATGCCCCGCGACCCCGGGGCTGCCCTGCTCTTCCTTTCCAGCTCCCTGAGGACCAGCTCAGTGTCATGGGCACTGCTCCCTTGGCTGAGAGTCTCAGGCTATTACGCCCAGCTTCTCCTGGTGGAGTCTGGAAAAGGGAGCATCAGTGCTGATCGAGCTTCTGTCTCCTCCCTCAGTGTTTCTGCCCCAGGTAAGTACCTTGAACACTTTCAGGTGTCATGATGGCGGTGTTGATGTCACATATTTTTATAGTGAGAGGGATTACAGTGTTGAAAGCGGGGCTTGGTTCAGTTAAAAATGAGCTGAAGGCATGAGGCTGTCTCATCCTCCTTCCTTCCCTCTCCCAGAGTGAAACGTGAGACAGTCGATTTTAAAAAGAGAGTTACAGTCCCTAACTAGACCAGCCCAGCTATTGTGTATTAACAGGAACCGCACCTCCAGAGGCGTTGGAGATCCAGGGACATTACAATCCTAAAGAGCTCCTGGCACAGTTTGGCTTGTTTTGGTTTCTTGTTTTTCTTAAATTGTGGGGCAGACAAGTGGTATAAAGGGAAAAATAATTGTCAAGAAATATTTTTTCACATAAGAGTTTTATTGTGATATAGTTCACACACCATGAAGTCCGTCCATTTAAATGGTACAATTCAGCAGCTTTTAGCATATTCACATTTGTGCAACCAGTATTATTCCAGAAGGTTTTCATCACTTCAGAAAGACCAGTGGAAATGAATGACCTATCTACCCCTGCCCAGTGGTGGTTCTAAAGAAGTTTCTTGGCTATTCCTGACCATAAATTAACTTGTTACATTCCATGAAAAATCTGGTAGGAATTCTAATCAGAATTGCAATGAATCTGTCTACCAAAACTGGAAGAATAAATGTTTTTATGGCATAAACTTCTTCTACCCATGAATATATCTGGGACCCTATCTTTTCATCTGTCCAGAGCCTGGCCTATGGGGAGTCCTCACTACTTTTGGGCTTGTGAATGATGAGATTCTATACATCGTTAGTTGTAACTGTAGCCTTTCACAGAAGAGAAAAGTAACCTCAGTGAAGCCAAGTGACTCTCTCATGGTTAGAAAGAGTGACAGCCAGTGCTGGAGTGATCCAGTGGACTTGGTGCTTGCAACCAGAATTCACCACCTACAGCTAAGGGGATTTGAGAGTTCTTTTATTTTTTCTTATTGGCGTTGCTTTTATTTTTACTTATTTTTTTAAATTATTTTTTATTGAAGTGTAGTCAATTTACAATGTTAATTTCAGATGTACAGCAGAGATTCAGTTATAAACATATGTATATGTATGTACATAAGTTTTAGATTGTTTTTAGCACCACTCATTACAAGAAATTGAATTTAGTCCCCTGTGCTATATAGTAGGTCCTTGTCATTTATTTGATATTTATTAATATTTATCTGTTAATTTTCCCTTTCCTGCCTGCTAACCACAGTTTGCTTTCTATGACCATGAGTCCATTTCTAGTAGCACAGTTTTTCCTAGTAATATATGCTCTTTGGCTTCTTTCAGTTTCAGTAATTCCATCTTATGTGTTGGCACTTTTCTTCTGGTGGCCTTATGTGGTTTGCCCATGTGGTAATACAGATCTGTATTTGGGAGAACTCCAGGCGTCGTGTAGTTCCTGGTACAGAGTGTCCACTGAGTTGATGCTTGAACTGGGAAAAAAGCACAGTAAATGTTGGAATTTCCACTATGGTTGAGAATTCTAGGTTTCTATAACCTGTTTAATCCCACCTTAATTTTGGCTGCACCCATACAGTGTAATTTGGTTGAATTTCATGTTATGGTGGTGTAGAGACAGGGCCTTGTATGTTTCTTCTCTTTCCTTTTTCTAACACTCATTCCCCTAGGCCTCCCTGATCCTCCCCCAGAAGTGCCAAGGGCTGGCTTGGTGCTGCACTGAGGCAATATTTTTTAATAAGGCCCTTTCCTCATCTCTTCTGAGCCTCCGTTTCTTTCTCTGCACAATGAAGGCTTAGACTAGATAAGTGCTTCTCAGTTTCTTTTAAAGCCATGTTTCCTTTGAGAAACAGAAAATGCATATCTCTCCTCTCAACCCAACACTTTAGATTTTGATAAGTCCACCAAAGAGTGAAATTGCTCATTGTGGAAAACTGATGTGATTGTGATTCTAGGTGGCACAGAAAACACTCTACAGAAATTGATTTCAGGGAGAGGGCAGGAGAGAGGCAGCATGTCACACTTTCTAGTGTGAGCACTGGATCAGGGGCTTGGGTTTAAATACGGTGTCTGACGTGGCATCTTTCTAATCTTGTACAATTTGATAAAATTCTCTACCTCATTTTCTTGATGTGTCAAGTTGGGGTGATAATATTTTAGGGCTTTTGTGAAACATTATCTACATAATCCATTTGTGTCTCAGTAGAAACTAGACCTGCTAGGGATTCAGGGACTTGTTTAAAAAAAAATCTTGTCATAGCACTCTGTGTGTATTTTGATGTTCCTGGAGGGTGAAGGTTGAGTCTAAAATCCATCATGGTACAGGTGGCCAATAGTTCTCTGTGCCCCAGATTGCACCCTCCTCCCCAGTCCTCTTCCTCTCAGTCCAGGATGAAGTTTCCTAGTAGATATGCACAGAGGTCTTGTGGAAATGGCTTTTCACTTTATTGCTTCACCAAGAAGGGCTGCCATCATGATCTCTGTGGTCAGATTTTGGTGACCTGAAGTCTATGCAATTGGGGGTTTCTATTTAATAAAAAGAAAAAAATTACAAGTACAAAATAAGGCCTAGGGT